TCCGGATAGACCTTAAACACCGGCCAGGAACTGTCTTGGTGTCTGTGACAATACGGTCGGGCCACAGGCTCACTGACATATGTCACCGGATGGATGCATGTGGATGATGTGAGTTTTTCGGCGCGTGTACGAGCTTTACGCTCTCCACAGCGCCACCAGGATGGTTCCTGGTCACGCGAGCGCATGAATAGTAATAAAAAATTTTTTTTTCTATTCAAATGCATTTTATTGAATTGAAAAAAATTGAACACGATTATTGAGATGATCGACGACATAGAGATTGCCTTGTCGATCGAAGGACAAACCACTGAGACCATTGAACTGATTTGCCTCTGCTCCTTCACGATTTCCACCCACAATAACAGTACCCTGTTTTGCTCCTTTAGGCCAACGCATCACTCGATTCCCCCAATCCGCCACATAGATGGTACCCAACATATCGACGAAGAGTCCGTTAGGATGATACAATTGTGTCAGAGCCTTCCCTTCGCCTTGACCTCCAGCGACGACAATGCCTTCTTTTGCACCTTTATTCCATTTCATTACACGATGATTGTGGTTGTCTGACACGTAGACAGTCTGTTGTTGATCGACAAAGATGTGGGTGGGCCAGTCGAGTTGATTGAGACCAGCACCTTTGCCATTTCCACCAGCCACGACAATTCCATTCTTGTCTCCTAGTTGATAACGTCTTACTTCATGTTTTTCGATGTCAGAGACATAGAGATATCTCTGATCATCCATGAACAATCTTCGACAAGCGATGTTGTCAATGAGGATTTCTCCTTGAGTTGTGCTACTACGACGAGACCATCGTACAACTCGTCTATTCCCATGATCACAAATAATGAGACTATCAGTCTCTTTGTCGATTAGCACATCGACTGGCGCATTCAATTGATCTAAGCGATTTCCTTGGCCCTTGCCACCAGCTACAACTTGTCCATTCGTATCACCCATCTTCCATTGGACGATACGATGATTACAGTCGTCAGCAATGGTCATCGTTTGATCATCATCAACGAAGAGACCATGAGGCAAGTAGAGTTGATTTGTGACATTGCCTTCTTCATTCCCTCCAGCAACGGTCTTTCCATTTTGTGACCATTGAGCATCGATGGGAATATTGGGAATAACTATAATAAAGAAAGAAAATGAATCGTCATTGTCGAAGAGATCTTTGTCTTTCATACACGAGAAAGTACTGTCCGTAACTTAGTCTATAAGAAAAGGACTTTGTAAGAATTCTTTTGTGTCGACAATTATTTCTAATACCTGAAATGTTAAGCTTTCAAACTTCTAAGGAGATTTCCATATACGAGTTCACAAGTGTAAAGAAAACAAAATTTTGCAAGCATGAAACGAAAGAAAAAAAGATAATGAATAGTTCTTTTTGTAGAGTTTGAAGTCTTTCTTGTTTCTCCCTTTCTCTTCTAATGCTCGTCGATTTTCTGCGTTTCTTCAAAAATTCAGCAATTTTTTTCTTTCTATATGATTTCCAAGGGCATTGATTACTCTAGCCAACGGTATAGTTTCCTTTTGACTTATTCTCTAGACTGAAAGGAGGATCAGCTCAAATAAAACCTACCAGTATGTGTGTATGTGTCAGGGGGAGAAAAAACATTGTCTGAAACAATAATGCTCAGTTCTTTTCTACATCTACTCCGGTAGAGCTTGACAAAAAGTTTTATGGGATTGAGGAATCGATTGGTACCATTGGTTTTTGAAAAATTTCAGATAGGTGTTTTAGTGAAAAACGGCTTGTTTTAGGTCAAAGAAAAACTGTGCTCCAAACTACGTAAACTAAAAACTAGGAGCTCATTTTAGGACCCACCTCGGATGGCAGTAGCATCACCTGGGATGGTACTAGCATCAATTGGTATGCTAGTAGTATCACTTGGGAGGCTATTAGTGTCACTTGAAGTGCTAGTAGCATCACCTGGAATGTTGATAGGATTCTACGTGATGCTACTAGCATCCAAGTTGATGCCCTAAGATCCCAGCTTATATATCTAGTGAACATTAGTTATAACTCCACAGCTAGTATCTCAGTGGAATGCGATCTTACTGCGATAAACCAGAAAACATGGTTTGTGTTTTATTGGGAAAGGGTGTATGGGTAAGTGAGCTCCATGTAGAGCTCACTTTTTTGAACTCTTTTGCGAGGAAAACAATGATTTCTTGTCAACTTTGACTAAAGGGTTTTGGCGTCGAGGAATTCATTGGTGGCATTGGTTTTTGAAAATTTTCGAATGGATTTTTTCACTGAAGACAGGTTTTTTGAAGAAAATCATGGTTTTTCATAAAGTTTGACTTAACGTACTTGAGAGTTGAGAACTCGGATCTGTCAATATTTCTGAAGAGCAGTGACTTGGAGGATTACAATGTGCGATATCAATTCAATCAATAATGTATCACAGAGTGCACCAAATAATCCTTCTTACTTCAGAATAGAGCTGATCACGATTCGGAGAACCGGTGCCTTATTTTCCGACAAGCATTTTTAAACGTCATTCAAGTTCAAATCGTTGTTTTTTTTATGGTGTTTGTTTGAGATTATCGAGGATAGCAAGACGATGATAAGTTATATGAATTTAAAAGCTATGCTCTGTAAACATGGGCGGCGCAAGGTCAGTTTTGTAGGGGTAGCAATAAACTGTTAAATGAGCTCTACTTTCTTCCCCTTGCTCAGTCCAATGCAAAAAAAATTTTTCATGAGAACTGAACTTCTCGATTATACTGTATGCAAAGCTCGAGCATTAACTCTTCTAGTAGTGCATTAAACCCGCTTTAATTAGTATATGCACTTTTTATTGAGTACGTTTACTTCTTCAATTTTAGTCTTCAATCACTATTAGATGTTCACAAATGTTTATTATTAATAGGAAAGAATACGTTCTTATTCGAGAATGATATACAATTATTTTGTTCTTTTTCAAAAAAAATTTTTTCTTTGATCTTTTTTCGATAGAAAAGCAGTTCCAATAGCATCAATATCAATTTCATAATCTTGTTCAAACGGGTGTCCCATAATAAATGACCGGTTTTTGTATTTCCGATGTTAATCTTTAAAAATTTTTATTAAAAATCGAGTATACCACAAGATGCAGCGTGAAAAGCTCTATAATTCACAAAGCAAGATTGATTTTGGTTGTTTATTTTTGATTTTGAAAAAGACAAAATTCTATACGACCACTTTTCGAAGGTGTCAAAAAACCATTCCTTCACTCTTATTTTATCTGCGTATCTCTTAATATGTTTTCTTTAAAAAAAGTATAATACACCAGAAGGTGTAGCGTGAAAAAATCTACAATCCGCAAAGTAAAGCATATTTTGGTTATGTAATTTTTGTTTTCAAAAAAAAAGTAAAATTCCGTGAGAATAATATCCATTGTACCTAAAAG